AAATCCTACATCATGATGAACAAAAGACTTGCATGATAAAACAACTGCTGTGTGAGATTATTTATGAGGAATTCTGGAACAGGCAAAACTAAAGTGTGTGGGACATATTAGAACACAATGTCAAGGGGTCAAGGACAGGGACTGACAGAAAAGAGGCATGAAAGAACTTTGTGAAGTATAGTGATTGGGATTGCATTAAGCAGGTGTGTATGTATTTTTGTCAATTCAAACAATACACAAGATTTGTCATTTCATTACATGTAGATTTTACATCAAAAGGAAAAAAACAAATATCTAAATCTAGGTAATAATATGCATGCTCAAACTTTAGGGTTGAAATGAACTGATTTTTGTAGTTTATTTCACAATGCATCAAGACCACAGCAGTTTATTTCAAAAATCACAAGGCACTTCCAATGATAGGTGGAAGGATAGAGGCAAATGTAGTACAATATGGATGTGCACTATGGGGAAAGCACATCCCCAGCCAACACTTACATCTCCTTATTTCATTTATTTTAATTTTTTTTGCGGGGAAGGGTGGTACTAGGGTTTGAACTCAAGGTCTTGTGCTTGCTAGGTAAGCACTCTACCACTTGAGCCATGCCCCCAGCTTAAAATTTTTTTAATGCTTAATGAACACATAACAACTGCACATGCAGGGCTGGGGATGAGGCACAAGCTGTAGGACACCTGCCTAGTAATTGCACATGCCCTGGCAGACAGTAAATTCTGTCATCTGAGAAAGAGTCTCCCAGCCCGTTTATCTACCGTGCTTTCATCTGTGCCAACTATGTTGCTTCCATGTGGTGTCCACTCGGCTTGGAAGCAAAGGCTCTTCAGAACTGACTTTGGACATCTCATCCTCACAGTACTCGGTGGCTGCTGACATCCCTCTGCCTTCTCACAAAGAACCCATAATCCACAACTTGGAGGTTCATTTTTCTCTAGTGTAATGGAGGTGGCCATCAAAAATGAATGCCCTGAAACTTCCCAAAGTCTCCCATTTATTCTACCTGGATTTTGATTACAGTTAGATAGCTAGGGCCTATCTAAAAGCTTCAGAGCCTGGTCCTTGTTGCAAAATGCAGGGCCTCTGGTGATGGGGTTGAACTTGCTCACTCCATGCCAGTCTCCTCCAAAGGAAAAGGGCCTGGAGGCTCACTCACGCTTTCTCAGTAAAATATACACTGAACATGCCTTTTGCAGTGGTGGGTTGTAGCTACACAGGTGTTCTAACTCATGGGAAGGTCACATAGCTGGTTCTCCCTTAATTCAGAGAACACCCCAATGTTTCATCTTTTTACAAAGGAGGAAACAAGATCATAGCATAAATGAACAGTTTGAATTCAAACTCACTTAAACATAGAATTCTAATCCTAACCCCACATCATACTGCCCTAAAACCACGCATTTCATGCCTAACATCAAGTGCGCAATTTTACAAATCTCAGCCTAGAATAAGAACTGGGCTGAGGAACATTCAATGCAGCAGTTTTCAAACTTTGTAGATTCTGGTAACAACTTTCTTATAAGAATGGAAGATAACAAAGCCAACCGTCTTACATTTAAGAGTAAACATTGGTCCCTGAATCCCTGAATCTTAAGTTTTGCATAAATATATATGTGCATGAGTCTCTTGCTGTGAAGATATAAAGTTAGAAAGCTACTGATTTGAGGATTAGGTCCTTCCAGATCAGGGGTTTAGATCTGAGGTTTAATTCTTCAGATTTGAAAAGCAATGCTGGAAATGAACAGGCTGAGGAACAAAGGCTTTTGATAAAGGCCATGTTGAACAGGCACCACTGGAGCAAAGGTCTGGAGCCCTCTGTGGGAGAGGGGGTCATCACTAGTAGCAGAAACCAGGGTCCAGACTGTGGCCTTGGCCAGGAAGCAGGTACACCCCACAAGCCACATCTAGGGGAAAGTGCTGCTGCCCATCTGCACACACTTTACCCATGTGTCAGCAAGAAAGGAGAACTTCATTTCTGGTAGTAGTCCCCAAGCTTACTTGCATAATTACATAAATACATAAATTTCAGACTATCATACTCCTCTTCCCCAGTTCCATTTTCCTTTCTCACTCCAAAACCAACCACTATCAGTTACGTAGCACATGTGTTCCGGTTCCTAGTGTATGGAGCTGCTTTGAGAGATTTTTAGTCTTACATTCAACTACTAGGAGGACCATGTCTTGCAACTCATTCGTGCTTTTTTTGGTGGGGGGAGGGGTGACAGTACTTGTAACTGAACTCAGGGCCTCCCACTTGCTAGCCAAGCACTCTACCACTTAAGCCATGCCACCAGTCCTTTTGGCTTTATTAGTTTGTTTTCAGATAGGGTCTCCAGTTTTTTTTCCCAGGCCAGCCTCAAACTTTGATCTTCCTACCTCTGCCTCCCAAGTAATTGGGATTACAGGTGTGAGCCACCATGCCTAGCCTTCACTCTTCTTTTGGAGATGCATCTGTATTTACATAAGTTCCTTTCTGTAACATACTGTACAGTATTCCATCACATGAATACACCACAGTTTCTGATATGCTATCATTACAAGCAGCACTGCTATTAACATTATTGAACATGTCTCCTTAGATTCATATGGGAGATTGTTCAGAGAATGTACTTGGAAATGGAATTGCTGAGTTGTCACTTATACCACTTGTTCCATAATTAGTTCTTCACAAATTTATTGACCTGCCCAATACAGGCTAAATCACCAGTCTCGACTACATTTTGAGAAACAGTGCTCCAATGTTGGGTGCACAGGCCCACACATGAGCACATGTATGTTTGCCCATGCACACATACACAGTGTGGTCTTAAAGCCACAGCTTTGTCATCTACAAATTGGCTCAGCTTCTCATAGGCTGAGTGATCCTGGACAGGTTATTTGACCATTCAAGCGTCCAACTCCTTATCTAAAAAAAAAATAATTAGAATTTGTACCTATCTTACAAGGTTTTGTGAAAAGTAAATGAATTAACACCAGGTAGATGCTCAGGAATAGTCCTTTTCCCATAATATTTAGGCAATATTTGGGGTCTGAACAGCTGTCCTTCAGAAACCAGGAAATTTATCAGAATGTCAAATAGAAGCAAAGAAATATGTGTGGTTTCCAGTCAGGGAGAGGCAGGTTCAATAAATGTGCCAATCTAGTGGACACAAGAGGGAGAATTACCAGCATCCTGTCTACCTCAAGGGGCTCTTTGAAGGACTGAGACACACTCAGAGAATGACCCTGAACAAGGTCACCCTCAGTGCTGGATCCAGGCTGGGCCCCAAGGCTTCAGCAAGCACATATTTATTTTAGGAATCATACAAAGTCCTGTTAAACCAACCAGGTCCCTAGAGACTCAGGCAGTGAGCCTCAAGGACACAAATGTGATGGAAACAGCCAAGCACAAGGTGAGTAAACAAGCCTCAACTACTGCTATACTGCAGCCCCAGGCCTCAATTCCTCTGCAGATACCTCACCCGCTGCCAGCTGGTATCTTGGAGTTCCCTCCTCCCTCAGGTTCTTGGACTCTGTGCTTCCTGGTTCTTATACTGCAGCTGTCCTCTACATGGGTGGAGGTCCCCTGGCCCCCACCACTCAGGAGCCTCACAGGTGTTCGGTCTCTAAGACAGAGGGTCTTTGTGAGAATTATATGACACAAGTCACGTGAAAGCTCACCACAGCTCAGTTTCATCCCCATCCCCTTTCTCCAGGGACACCACTATCCAGGCTACTGTCTATGCTCAATCTCCTGACATCCCTTTGAATCTTCTCTTCCCTGTCCATGACTGTGCTCCCCCCAGCCGCCCACCATGCCCCCTCCAATCCAGTTATTGCTGGTAATGTAACATCACCATGATGGTTCTGCTCACATCCCTCAGAAACTCCTAATGCCCCTCCCCAAAGGCCTATTGAAAGATTCAACATTTTCGACCTGCATGCAAGGCCTTCTGGGATGATGCCCTTCCTTACCCGCCTTCTTCAATCTCTACCCTTAAGAAAAAATCACTTCCTGGGTGGTACACTTATGAAATGGAAATTCTATATCCAAACAGGAATGAAATAAACCTTAACAGGTTCTTACTATGGGCCTTCAGAGCCTTTTGTACCTAAATGTGTACTGGGTTTCTTCACATTTTCCCTGTTTGTTTGTTTGTTTGTTTATTTATCTATTTATTTTGCATTAGCAGGGCTTAAACTCAGGGCCTACACCTTGAGCCACTCCACCAGCCCTTGTTGTTTTAGGTATTTACGAGATAGGGTCTCAAGAACTATTTTCCCAGGCTGGCTTCAAACCAAGATCCTCCTGATCTCTGCCTCCTGAGAAGCTAGATTATAGACATGAGCCACTAGTGCCTGGCTTTTATTTTGGTTTTTGGGACAGGGTCTCTCTATGTAGCCCAGGTTGACCTCTAACTCTTGATCTTCCTGCCTCAGTCTTCCAAGTACTGGAATTACAGCTGTATACCACCATGCTCTTCTCCAAGTTTATTTAGACTTCTAGGACTTTTTTTCGTGGAGTTCATGAAACAATCAAGGACAATGTGAACTGCAGTGCTTTCCCAGCATACCTACAGAATGTGCTGTTAAGGACACCTGGACATACATGGGCCAGAGAACAGCCTCCATAGCCTAAGGCCATGACCATCACAGCATACTTCTTGTGGTTCATCACCACCACTGTGTCCAATTTCTGTGGGTCTATAAAATCTCAAACTGAGCCAAGAAGCCTTTCTCAACACATGGGTAGAAAACAAATGACTGTCAGCAATGTTCTGGAAGGACTGACCAAAGAGAAGCCTTGACCTTGGCTGCCAAAGCTGCTAGTTTTCCTGATCTTCCTGGCCATCCCAATTCTACAGCCTTCCATTCAATTCTCTTACATCAGCCTTCATTGGATTCTGAGGGTTAAAATCAAGGAATCTTCACTAACACAGAGTTCTTTGGGTCCCTGAGCAAAACCAAACAAATTGCCCCAAGGCAAGCCATCCCCCAGGTACAGTACCTGTCCCATCTGGGGTGGACCTCACAAAGGTGGGTAGCATTTTCACAGAAGCAGTGGGGTGGGTGGTGGCTCCAAGTCCTTTCTCCATCTCCTTACGGAACCGCTTAGAAATCTCCAGAAGGGTCTCATCAGAAAGACGCATGTGGTAGAGATACTGGTCGACCTGAAAGAGAGAGATAACAATAATAAGATCTACGGGCTAAACAAATTATAGGATAGTCTATGTCATCAAGTATCACTCAGCCCTTCAAAAGAATAAAATCTGTCATGGACAGAAGGTGATTACTGAAGACTAGTAAGAATTGACTTGCAAGGACTATGGGGTTTTTTTAATTAAAATAATAAAAATTATAATTTTATTTCTGGAGAAAGGTGAACCAGGGGAAAGGGCATTTGGGGGAGATCTTCAGAAAGGCTGAACTGAAACACCTGATGGAGCTGAGTTCAATACTGACCCTCTTCCCTGTTCCCCCAAACACCTCACATAGCTGGCCATGTCAGTCCTATCACCTCTCACCGTAGGCCTGGCAGCCACTACCTCTGCCTGGACTCACACAATCCCCATTTCTACACTTACCGATTCCATCTGTTTTTCAACTCCCAGCCAGACTCTACTGTTCCCTTGCTTAAATTCTATCAGTGGCTACCCATTAGAACAAAACCCAAGACCCTTCCAAGCCCCTACATAAGCTGGTTTCTGCCCAGCTCCTACATGGCACATCTCTGCATCCTTGTGCAGAATCTATCCCTGGTTCAGTTTCCCACCTGCCCTTCCCTGACCCAGGTCAATGTGCACAGGCGTTGCAGATACGTGCCTGCCCTTTCTTGCCAATCCTTCAGGCCTCTCTCCAAAGAGGCTTTGTCTGACCTCCTGAATACAACAGTCAGGTCTACTTAATATTTTAAAGGCTCAAGCTTTTCCCTTCATAGTACCACCTACAATCTGAAAATAAATATTTACAAATGCTCCTGGACTTACAATGAGGTTACATCCTGATAAACACATCCTAAGTTCAAAATATTGTTAGTGGAAAATGCATTATAGCTTAACAACACTGCACCACACTTTGATTGCTTACCCTCATGATAATGTGGTACACTGAGAGCTATGCCTCCCTCCCGCTGCCCAGCATCATGAGAGCATCATGCCACATATTGCTAGCCTGAACAAGGATCAAAAAAATTCAAAGTCCAGTTTCTACTGAATGTGTATCACTTTCCCACCATCATAAAGTTGGAAAATTATAAGGACATTGGGTTTCTCTCCATCATGTGAGAAGACTAAGAGGAAGAATGCAGAATAGGTGTAAGAAATTCAAGTCTAGCATCTTTACACAACACCCTCACCTTAGAGCTCTTTCTTTGAATGCTCAGACTCAGGAGTAGCCAGCATCTGGGCATGAATATGTATCCACCCAGTATATTAAGGTCACTTGGAAGGGACAATAGTTATCTAATGCCACAGCTTCCTAAACATACTACTGGAGCTCACTTGGCCTTGACAGGTACTACTGTGCTGGGTGAGCAGTGGCTGAGGGAAGCAGAAGTGGGGAACAAGATGCAGCCTCATGAGAGGACAGTTATCCTGGATTGGAAGGGAAGTGAACACAGTTTTCAGAATCCTGCCAACTTCTACCAGAGTGCAGCCAGAGGCAAGGAGCACCAGTCCCAATGTCATGGGAGAAAGGCACAGAGGAGTTGCCATAGGTCCACACAGCAGTGAGACACAGACAAAAAATATCCACTCTTAAAAAGAGAAGGCCTTTGGAGTAATTAGTTCAAACTCCAGTGAGCACAGCATTTGAGTTTTCACTTTGTCTCTGTCACCTGAATAGTTAGTTATCTGACCATTTGAATGCTTCCAAGCATGAGAGGCTCACTACTTTAAGTTCCATTGTTGATCAGAGTTACAAAGTTGTCCCTCAATCAGAGATAAGTCTGCTTTCTGTGACTTCTGACTGATCTCCACTCTGCCCCCGGTGATAAGAGTTCCTAAGCTTGGCTGCACATCAGAATCACATGAGAAGCTTTTCAAAAGCACTAAGAAGCCAAGTATGATGGTGTGATCCCAGCACTCAAGAGGCTGAGGCAGGAGAATCATGAGTTCAAGGCCAGCCTGAGCTATACAATGTGGCTGTCTCAAAATAAAAAAAAAAGAGAGAGAGAGAGAGAGAAATGACTGGATATGATGGCTCACACCTATAATCCCAGCTATTTGGGAGCTGAGATTTTGGCCAGCCTAGGCAAAAAAGTTAGTGAGACCCTATCTCAAAGAACAAGCCAAACAGTGGCACAGTCCCATGATCAAAGCTATGCAGTAGGCATAAGCAGGAGAATCATGGTCCAAGGCCAACTAGACAAAAAGTGCCAGACCCTATCTGAAAAATAACTAAAGCAAAAAAAGGCTGGGGCATGGCCTTCAGTGCTTGCCTAACAAGTGGGAGGCCCTGAGTTCAATCCTCAGTACAAGGCCCTGAGATCAAACCCCACTGCCACTGAAAAGAAAAAGAAAGGCCATTAAGGATTCCAAACATCCATTTCAGAATGACCCAAAGGACACCTAATAAGACTGGGAGTTCAAACATCCTCCCCTGAGGCAGGCAGGTTTCCACTGTGTCAATATGTGATACTGATTGGCTGTGTTCTGGTCAACACTGCTTAAGGTCATTTCTACCACTTTTCTGCCTGAGGGCTCTAAAAGCCAATAGTTAAAACATTATGCCAAATGTGTCCCTGCAAAATAATCCCGTGTTGATCCAGGGTGCTGGGAGTTGGAAAGACAAACCCTGCACTTGCTGGAAAGAGATTTAATTGTTGGAAACTATCAAAACAGAATCATTGAAGCCAGTCTTCATTTTGTAGCTACTGGTGGTGAAATGAGGATTCTGGCACCAGAGAAATCAGTATGCAAATGCTAGCTGTGGCACCTGTACAGGAGTACAACACTGGAAAAGTCACACTTTTTCTGAACCCCAGTTTCCTCCCTATAAAATGAGATAAAGAGCCCTATGCAGTCATGACCATAATTCAGCCCTCAAACAAAACTCCAGACCAACCTTTGGTCCAGAAAGAAGGACCTTTCTTTCTGCTCCCTTCCCTCTTCTAGGTTTCTCTCTGCCAAGTGGCACCCTCAGAGGACCAAAGACATTTCTTAACCCTACTTAATCACACTCAGGATTAACAAGACAGTGTCTGTTTCCCCAAATAGTCCCTTCTCTTTCTGTGGTGGGTGTAAGGCCTATCATCCAGGGCTGTTTCTCTTTAAGTCTACCTGGGCAAAAGGAGGAAAGGAAGAGGCCCTCCAGGCTAGGGAGCCATAGGCAGGCCAGAGCAAAGCCTAGTTGGGGTCTGGGAAGGCTGCCTGCCTGCCCCAGGGAAAGGGTGTGTGTTATAGAGAAAGAGAGATAGCAGATTTAGTTGATATCTATTCAGCAATGCTGAGGAAATTAGAACTTCCTCATTGGGCAATTCTGGTCAGTTTTATTTTTCCCATAACACAGTCTGGTATGACTATTTCCTCTACAGAATTCGGGGTGGGTCAAGGGAAGCTCCAAAGAGAAATTAACTACACATTGTTTATGAAATAAGATAACATTCAAAATGGGATTAATGCCAATTTTTTTAAGTGCCCAAATTTCCCTCCAGATCAGCATGAAAAGGAGGGGAAATTGTGTCATACAAGTAATGTAAGGAATGGAAAAAGCAAACAGTCATTCTCACAGAGGCCTCACATTAAAGTATGCAGTATACAGGTTGGGTCAAGCACAGTCCTTGCCAGGTATGAGGATTCAAGAAAGAAAGGCCTAGAGACTGAGAGCCAGAAAGGGATTCTCAGAGAAACTGAAGCCAATCCAAGATCAGCCTAGACCAGGCCACAAGGTTGAGACTAGAATCTGGATCACCCAGATGAGTGACAGCCCTGTTAGCCCACAAGAACCCATCTCATTTCACAGACCAATTCCAATCAAACAGTTGGTGGCCCGTGCCTGGATCCTGAACTTCTCTATCTGGTCTCAGCAGGAAATTGGCCCCAACCAAATTACTTATGTCTAGAAGCACACATTATTCCAACTTCAGCAGTTTGTTTATATAACATACTACAAAGTTTAATGAGTATGTTAAGTTTAAAAGGGAAGAAACCTTGCATTTCTAAATCTTTATGATTCATTACCATTCAAACCCTGAATCCCTGACCCCAGCAGCATCTTCAGTCTTCCAGTTTATAACATTTATGCAACACCAATTATATATAAAAGAATATGGTGCACAAAAATCCCTTCTGGAGTTGGATAGTAGAGATGCTCGTACAACTATGTGAATGTATACTTAAAATGGTCAAAATGATAAATTTTATCGCACTAAGACATTTTCTAAGAAACCAAGACCCCTACTCTCTGAGACCTTATAGCAAAAACCTGGCTCAAATTATAGACCAATCAATGTCTTGGGGATGCATGGAGGGATAGGTCTTAGATTAGATTCAAAGAACAAGCACAGGACTGACGGTGTGGCTCAAAAGGTAGAGTACCTGCTTTGCAAGCACAAAGCCATGAGTTCAAAGCCCAGTATCACCCGAAAAAAAAAAAAGATCTGCTGGTAGAGTGGCTCAAGTGGTAGAGCGCCTGCCTAGAAGGACAAATACTTGCGTGGTGGCCAACAGAAATGCCACAGGGTTAGGCGGCCTATGAGACCAGCAGTCAAAGGAGATAGCTTCTGGGCTAAGCCACCTCAGTGGATGAATCTTGACTTGGAGACCATTTCAGAAAGTGTGGACATGGTCAAGATCCTAAAAAATTATGAATTCCAGGTGCATTTTATTTTATTAAAGAAACAAGAAACTGTTAGCCACAAGTAGCTGGTCAAATGTAATTTTATCATTTCCAATCAAGGAATCACAAAGCCAGGTGTGGCAGTGAATGCCTGTAATACCAGCATTCAGGAAGCTGAAGCAGGAGGATCTCATGTTCAAGGCTGGCTTGGGCGATAGCAAGATAGTATCTCAAAAAAAAATAAGAATCATAGGAAGGAAGGACCACAAGGACCAACCACCCAACTGTGCAAAGCCGCTATGTTTTCACTAACCCTTCCTTGGCCAGTCAATTTCCTGTAAAGTTTAGTGTAAGGAATGAAGTTTGGCTGTCCAGACACACTGTGCTCCCTGCT